GGGGGAGAGAGAGAGAGAGAGATCAGAGAATCTCAAGCAGGCTCTGCCCTGTCAGCGCAGAGCCAGAGGAAAGGCTCAATCTCACAAACCGTGAGATCATGACCCTAGCCAAAATCAAGTCAGACGCTTAACCGACGGAGACACCCAAGCGCCCCTTTGGGGAGGTCTTTTAAAAAATGGTCACACAAATGTGACTCTACGCTCGGAAGATGTTTCCAGCGCTCCCCACTGGTGTCCCTCATCATTTGGCAGCCCCCACCCCTCTGCTAGGCTCACGGAGCATTTCCCCCCGCCCCCCGACCAGGGGCAAAGCCCACGCACCAATGACCTTTTACTCCCGCTTGCCCCTGCTAGGTACACCCTTCTACCCCTTTCAGCCCCGATAATCTGTTTTTCAAGATCAATGACGGATCCTCCAAGCCAGAATGCACAGCCACCTCCCAACCTCCCACCCTGAGATCCTGAAGCAAATTTAGTCTCTTTAGAACTGGTGGTTGCGGCTGTGTCCGTGCGGAAGGTCCAGCTTCGACCAGGTATCCAGACGACACCCAGGAAGATCTGTACTAAGCGAGCCAGGCGGGCGAGCCCGTACGTCTCAGGGCTCCGAGCCCGGTGCTCGCTCCATGGCGGCCGCGGGTGCGCAGCCGCCGAGGCCCAGCCTAGCCGGCCGGCCCGCTGCCCAGGGGCGCGAAAACGCAGGGGCCGGCGCTCCCGGCTCCAGTCCCCGCGCGGCCCGCCTCCCGACCGAGGACTCCGTCACGTGACGGCGGAGCCTGCGTGCGTTTTTCTCACGTGACGGAGGCGCCGGCGTGTGGGCCAATGAGAATGCGGGGCGGGGCTTCCGGGGGGCGGTGCGCGGGAAGGGAACCCCCGGGGGCCCCGCGGCGGCGGGCGAGACCCGGGGACCAGCCGCCTCCCCGGGGTTGGGTAGGGATCCGTTGCGGGCCGGCCGCCAGTCTCAGCTCGGTCGCGGGCCAGGCCCGGCCCCGGTCCTGGGCGCAGCATGAAGTGTCTGGTCACGGGCGGCAACGTGAAGGGTGAGTTGGGGGCGACCGGTGGGCGGGGGCACGTGGAACCGCGGGAGATGCCAGCCTAACCCCCGTTTCTTTTCTCCTCCCCGCAGTGCTCGGCAAGGCCGTCCATTCCCTGTCCCGTATCGGGGATGAGCTCTACCTGGAGCCCCTGGAAGACGGGGTGAGGGGGTGGGTGGGATTACAGCAGGGAGCCGGTTTCGCCTCCCATCAGGCCAGATGCCCTTGGGCAGATTTGTCTGCAGAGTTTGTTCCCCCCTCCCCCCACCCCGTTGTTGTGGCGTCAGTTTGGGCCCTGTCATCTTCCCTGGTCCCTGAAGTGCCCGGTGGCGGGTGGGGGGTGACTAGGGGAAAAGGCAGAGTATGTAGACCCCTTGCTGTGGGAGCAGTGCCGCCAGGGACTCAGGGAAGGCTTCGGGGAGAAGGCATCCGCTGACGGGACCGAGAGGGAGGATTTCCACAGGTGCCGGCGGAGGACAGTAGGGCAAGTGTGCGACAAAAGCCAGCCAGAGGGCAGGGCCGTCTCTGCCCCCTGACCGCATCCCTTTCCCTGCTCTTCCTGGCCCAGCTCTCTCTCCGGACGGTGAACTCCTCTCGCTCTGCCTATGCCTGCTTCCTCTTTGCCCCACTCTTCTTCCAGCAGTACCAGGCAGCCACCCCTGGTCAGGAAGCCCTGCGCTGTAAGATCTTGATGAAGGTGAGGCCCTTCCCTCATCAGCGGCCCTGTGCCGCTGCCCTGGAACGTGTCTGCCCTGGGACATTCAGTAGATACTGACTGGGGAGAGGTACTGCAGGAGCGAGCCAGTGTCAAATGCAGTGAGGGGCACAGTAAAGACCACAGAGCATAACGGGAGATACAGAGAGGGTGGTTGATCCTGCCTGGGTTTGGAGAGAGTGGTGATATTCAAGTTGGGCCTTGAAAGGTAAGTAGGTCTTTCAAGGCATCCCAGACAGGTGTAACAGCATGAACAAAGGCCCAGAAAGGCGTAAACGTTCTGCACGTTGTGGAGGTCCTTTCCTGCTGTGACAGTGCTGAGCCTGGGATGGCCAGGTCCTCCACGGGATGTGGAAGCTGGTCGGTGGAGGCACAGCACTGAGCCGATGGATTTGCCCCGCTCAGTCGTTCCTGGCCGTCTTCCGCTCGCTGGCGATGGTGGAGAAGACCGTGGAGAGATGCTGCATCTCGCTGAATGGCAGGAACAGCCGCCTGGTGGTCCAGCTGCACTGCAGATACGGTGAGTGGGCAGCCGGCTGGCCACGGGGTCCCTGGGGTGGAGGTTAGCCAGACCCACTGAGACCCTGTCTGCCCATCCAGGGGTGAGGAAGACTCACAACCTGTCCTTCCAGGAATGCGAGTCCCTGCAGGCCGTCTTCGACCCAGCCTTGTGCTCCCATGTGCTCCGTGCCCCCGCGCGGTGAGTCTGTCGGCTGGCTACAAGCTGAGCCGTGGGTCTTTTTTTCTTCTTTGGAGCTTCAAGAGTCAATTTAAGGAGATGCCTTCTTCGTTTTCTCTTCTACATTTGCTGTCGGGGTCTGGTCTGGCTCTTAGGCAGAGGCTGGAATGGAGGAGGGCGGTGCCCCAGGGTCCTCAGTATCTTCAGGAGCCTGTGTTCTCCACCCCAAAGGTCCAGCTTGGCTTTCTGGCCATTCAGACCCATTCTGACTCCTCTTTTAGAAGGCAGGTCTTTGAAGCACCTGGGTGGCTCAGAGTATCCGACTCTTGATGTTGGCTCAGGTCACGATCCCAGGGTCATGGGATCAAGCCTCGTGTTGGGCTCTGTGCTGGGTGTGGCGCCTGCTTGGGATTTTCTCCCTCTCTCTCTGTCCCTCCCTCACTTGCCCTCTCTCTCTCTCTCTCAAAATAAACTTTAAAAAATATTTAAAAAGAAAGAAAGAAAAAAAGCAAGCAGGCAACCAACCAAGCATGTCTTTGGTTTGCACGTAAATCCTCTCTCTGGCCTGAACAGCCTTGAACGTCCATCTTTAAGCTTTGTGGCTCAGGAGCTCAAAACCCTTCTCTGGTGGGGTCATCCTTCTGGGACTGTGTTCTTTCGAGAGCAGCCTCTTTTCCTATCCGCCTGGACTGTAGATTTGAGGAGTCCGCAGCCCAAGGAAGGAGGCTGGACCGGGAGGTCATGGTCCAGAACGGCTGCCTGAATACGCAGCCATGGGGGTGGGGCTCTGTTCTGGGAAAATCTGAACATCCAGGGGCAGTGCAGGACCTGGCAGATGGGGGCTCCAGTGGAGAACACTAGTGTGGAGAGGGGTAGCTCCCCTCCCACCCTCTGCTGGATGCTGCTTGTATTTGAGTAGCCCAAGGTCATGTTCATTTTGGTAGCCATAAGGTGTGGTATCTGAAGTTCCCTTTGAGTCCCTACAGTCTATTTTTCTGAGTTCTGTTGGGATAGTGCGCTCAGGACTCCTTTGGGTAAAGGAAGAGGGAAGGGTGTCACCTCTAGTCTGGATTTGGGTGCTATTTTTTTCTTCTAATGAGCAATTGTTTTTCCTTTTTTCATGGACAATTTCAAATATATGTAGAAGCAGATGCCCACTCCTGTCTCAGTTGTCTTGAGGCCGATTCCAGACGTTGTCTCATACGTGAATACTTGTTAACGTGTATTCTAAAAAGATGAAGATTTAAGGCCTTTTTCTGAAGGCCGAGTTTATAGATGGCGCCGCTGTGGTTTCCCACCCCTCGGTGGGCAGGTACTGCCTGCCTGGTTCGGCCCATGCAACAGCCCATCCTTCCTGTTACCTCCTCTGGATTCTGCTCTGGTCTGCCCCATCCCTTGCGGTGGACTTTTCTCCAACAGCCCGAGAGCTTTGGATGAGGTAGGAACCAGGTCCTCCTCACCCTGTCCTCCCTCCCAGGGCGTGCTAGGCCTGGCACATGGTAGGTGTCTGTGCGCTAATAACCCGCGCCGCAGCTCTGCCTCAGCTCACCAAGAGCGAAGGCCCTGGGCAGGGCTAAGCCTTGGTGTGATGCTGTGCCCTCCTCACAGGGTCCTGGGGGAGGCTGTTCAGCCCTTCCCCCCCACATTGGCAGAAGTGACGCTGGGCATCGGCTCTGGCCGCAGGGTCATCCTGCGCAGCTACCAGGAGGAGGAGGCAGGTGAGGGAGCCAGATGCGG